ACCGCTCATATTTGATAATAATACCATCAACAAAATATAAAAAATGGTTCCAAATTAGTTTATTTTATGTAGTTTGATTTCATATCATCTGCCCGGCATGGTGTAAACTTAGCTCGAAATGGTTCCTCCAATTGTGCATTCTTAGATCTACTAGTAATGATTGTTTTCCAAAAAATAAAGTTACAGAAAGAATATGTTGGTAACTTTTTTTTGTTGTAGTAAATTGCTACTGGATAAATCGAAACTTTAATGGTTATATAGATATCTTGAAAAAGCATGTACGTGAAATTAATTTTCAAAAAAAAAAAAAAAGCATGTACGTGAAAGAAAAAATGTAGAGAAGATTCACGAGAAGCAACCTAAAGTCACACGCTTTTCCTGAAGCAAACAAAAGCTGAAAAAGAATCCAAAAATAACATCTAAAGTTATATTATATACATTGACCATTTTTTTTCTTATATATTATGGTTTGACATTGAGCCTCATTTCTTTTGTTAAATTGATCCTCATTTTTTCTTTGTTACTATGTTATCTTATAATTAAAAATTCAAATATACTTTTATATGAATAAAAATGTATAACTTCCGACCTAATAAATAAACTTTGTCGGTTTTTAAATATGAGGAAAGACTATTAAGGCAGGATCAGAAGAAATTGTTCTTGCATAAATGAGACTGAAGATTGGAGAAGGTGCCTCGCGTAATTTACAAGTCAAATCCACGTAGGACAACGTGTGAACACGTCTATGTGGGACCCAATCTTGTTTGTCTTTGTAGGGCCCAGTTGGCTCCATACTCAATCCTGATTGGTTCCAATTCTATGTTTCCTGATTTTAACTCTGCTTTTACCCATTTTCCCTTTTTTCATCACTCAAACTATTTTATTTACGGTCGTTAGAAAATTTGCATTTAAATGATTAAATCCTTACATAAACTTGAATGAACGGTAGGTTCAATTATAACGAACATAACAATAAAAAATAATGCTCAAGGGAAATAGTTGTATTTTGGAAATGTATGTTTAATAGCTTGTTTCATTTTAATTTGATAGGTAAGAAAATTCACTGTAAAATTCCATAAGTTTGCATGGTGTTGGGTTGGGTTGGGTAAATGAGACACACCAATAAAACAAACGAATTTTCAGTGGAAATAGTAGCAATTATCAATCGTTTTATCAATTCAATGCATTTTTTTTTATCTTAATCTTATGCATTTGTTGTGCTTGTAAGGACATTTAAAAAATCGATTTTAAAACTATTCATGACGTTGACTTCGACATAGAAAACCCCATGGCCAAAACGAGCACATATATAAGCCAAAGTAGATGAAGAAAGTATCAACACACAAAATCGTGAACATTTCAAATCTAAACAAAAACCAAAAAACTTCGTGTGTTTTCTTCTTCTATTATTTAATCAATTAATTTTCTCAAAAAGCTTTCTTTCTTTTTTTCCAGAAGCTCCTCTTTAGTTCTCCATATTATTTTAATACTTATTTTTTTCGCTCTTGTATACAAATGGCAATAGCTTTAAACATGAATGGTTACATGGAAGAGTTCATGAAAGCTCTTGAACCATTCATGAATGTAA